ATCTATCTATCTATCTATCTATCTATCTATCTATCTATCTATCTATCCTCTCTCTGTTACAGTAGATACTCGTCTTCAAGCTCAACATCCACACTTTCTTATCACATTCCACCTAAACCTGCATGAATTAGGACCTGGCCTGTTCCTGTCAGAGCTAACTGGCCAATAACACTCGGTTGGGTCCAGTCTTTCCGAACCAGCCCAGAAGATAAATGTCATATTTGTACTCTTGATCTACTCTGGTTTATTCTCAGGCTTCCAGCTAAAGAACCAAATCTAACATAGGACTACCTGCCCCCGAAAAAGAAGCCAGAGGTTGAACTCTTGATCAAGGTCCAGACTGTTATCTTTCTTTTATGGATCACAGGGAATTATAAGTACGCAACTGAATGAGAGTTGGACTAAGATTTGTTGTGCTGTCAGAAACAATTGTTAATCATTAGCTTAAAATTATACAGATTGATCCAAGTGAGTAGCTGTTTAGATAAGGATATAGCTGAGTGGTAGAGAAGATCAAGAGGTCCCCAGTTCAACTCTCAGTATCGCCCTACTTTGTAAGTCACTTTGGATAAAAGTGTCAGCTAAATCCTGAGACCCGGCCCCTTCATTTATGTCCATTATAGTGGACATTTTGTCCACCTGTACCCCCCTAAGTATCTGGAGTTACCCTATCAGCCCTATAGTGTTCTGTAGAGGACATCCTGGGATTTCCAGTGATGTGCCATGTGACAGATTTGCATGCTGGGAACTTTTTTCCTAAGAGTTCTTAGGTAAATATCCCTTTCAAGACATCTTCTTGTTTATTATTTAATTATCTAAAGCCTGTTCTATTTTCCCATGCAATTCGTCCTGTTGTCCTCCACAGTGGACATGCTAAGAAATTAAAATTAAAAATATATATTTTTTAATTTAAATTGTAATGTTCTTTTTTAGGTCCAAATACATGGAAAATCACAACAAAAAAGAAATTTGAAGACACTTTTTTTCTTTGGGTCTCAGGAGGTTAAACATAATTTATTTAGAAAGGTTCAGTTCCTCATTAAAATGATTTTCCGTGAGGATGCTTCTATGGAAAAGCAAAATAATCAAACTAAATCAACCCTTTAGTGAGACTTTACTGGATTAACAAGATATAAAAAACGGAGGGAGGAGCTAAAATCACGAGACGAAATACCGGCTGGTTTTGCAGCAGAGGAGGTTTCCAGGTAGCCCGATGTGAGCTTCTTCTCCCTCAGGATTATGGGAAGGATCTGATTGGAGCATGTGCCACTCGCACAGTCACTACAGGTGTGAGTGCCCACATCTGCGTAGCAAAAGGAAAACAAAATGCATTAACAGCTAACGGCACACCTCCATCAAAGCCTCAACAGGTGTATTCGAAGATTGAAAAGCAGGACAAGGTAAAAAAAAAAAATGGATTAAAAATAAATTAAATTAAATTAAAAATAAATAAATAAATCAATCAAAACACACTCTCGGCCAAGTTTCCACCCATTCAGCAGAAACACAACAAGGAACAATGAGGTGCATTTCCACAAAGATGAGGATGTGCCTCGCTCACAGGCAAATATTAGAAGTCTATCAGTATATTTTTTTTCTCTTTCCCCTGTCAGGTTTGACATTAATCATCTTACTTCTGTAATAAAAGTACATCTTAAAGGAGACATGTTATACCCTATTTCAACAAGTTAAGCTAGTTCCCTGGTGTCCTAATGTAATGTCTGTGACAAGCTTTGGTCAAAATCCCATAAGGATGAAGCCCAATAGCAGTTCAGTCCCCCTGCCTAACCCTAACCCTAACCCTAACCCTAACCCAAAACAGCCCCGTTCAGAGCGCTCGCTTTGGAGTGCCTGTCTCTTTAAATGCAAATGAGACACAGGCAATCCGCCCACTTCTTCAGGGAGGTGTGCCCATGTCGACACGCTAACGCTACCATGCTAACGCTACCATGCTAACGCTACCATGCTAATGCTACCATGCTAACGCTACCATGCTAACGCTACCATGCTAACGCTCACATTAACGCTACCATGCTAACGCTACCATGCTAATGCTACCATGCTAACGCTACCATGCTAACGTTACCATGCTAACGGTACCATGCTAACGCTCACGCTACCACGCTAAGGCTACCGTGCTAACGCTACCATGCTAACGCTACCACGCTAAGGCTACCGTGCTAACGCTACCATGCTAACGCTACCATGCTAACGCTCACGCTACCATGCTAACGCTACCAGCCTAAGGCTACCATGCTAACGCTACCATGCTAACGCTCACGCTACCAGGACGTCTCCACAGATAGGGGAGTAAGCTGAGGGGGGGGG